AGGCAACAATGAGATTGGCCTAAAATTTGAGGGTGTATCGCAGTCACCACCCTTGTGAAGAGGTAAGACCCTTGCAAGTTTCAGACAGGAAGGGAAAATCCCTGATTGAAAGGACTGATTCACAGAATCAGCAAACACCTCTAGAACCGATTCGGGCAAATGCGAAAAGACCTTCAGCGTAATCTCATCCCATCCCGCAGAATTTTTATTTTTAATATCTTTTAAGGTGTCTCTGATTTCTTGTGTTGTAGTAGGTTTAAAGAAAAAAGACTCGGATACGCTTATGTGACTTAGATATTCTCTAGGGTTAGTCCCAGAACTAATTTTGCTAGAAAGAGAAGCCGCAATCGAACAATAAAATTTATTAATTTCCGTGGCAGTCAAATTTGATTCCATTGGTGAAGTATTCTTTTTTCCTCTTAAGTTATTAACAATTCTCCATGATTCCTTTTGTTTGTTGCCAGCCATCTCTATCCTATTTCTAAAATATAATTGCTTAGCGGTTTTAACTACTTGCCTATATATTTTACGATATTTGTTGAAAAAAAGCATAAAACCATCATTCCCCAAATAAAACTTCCTAATGTAATGCAAAGAACGCATATTTCTAGCCGATACTCTTATACCTTTTGTAATATACATACAATTATCATTAGGATTCTTTTTTTTTTTTGATAATAAAATAAAATAGTGATTTTAGTTTGAGTATATTCCAGTACAACGCTACCTTTGCCTCCAAAAAAAAATAACTATTGCTGCTAAGTAGCTTCCTGGTTCTCGGGCTCAATATTCGATATATCTTCGCCTTCAACAGCTTCCATAAATATATCTACTCTATGGCGTCATGTGATTTTATTGGTTAGGATCGTGCTTGAGAACGTGCTGAATATTCTCTATCATGCTCATTGTGCTCCGAAGGTAATATTCAGCATGAACCTTTTTTTCGTGCGCGAACGTTCGTGAATGTTCTCGAAAGCACAATCAGAACGTTCCCTTGTTCACATCACTACAAGGATCTACGTTATTTTATTAGTGCATCAGCACTATTTCTTCTAGAAAATATAGAGAGTTATTGGAACTATTAAATACTGCCTCGCATGTGGTGAATTTCTGCCGATACCCATTTTTTGATGTTACCTACAGTAAAATGGAAAACTATTGTAAAAAACAAATTCTCTAAGTAAAATTACATCATCGTCGAAAAGCGAAACGTCAAAGTCGTCAAAAATGTCAGAAATATTGAAATAAGGGAAGTTTACTGCCCCGCACCAACCATACACAAATAAAGACAAGCAGTAAGCTTATTAGGGGAGTCCTTATTTTCAGACCCAAATGCGCATGCGTAGATGTCAAAATAAGGCTAATTTAAATACTGCTTGCCCTTATTGCACGTCCAATAAGTCGACATAAATAAGTTGACATAAATAAGTCGACATAAATAAGTCGACATAAATAAGTCGACATAAATAAGTCGACATAAATAAGTCGACTTAAAAAAAAAATTCAACTTGATCCTCCAGCGCTTCCGTAGGATGGGGATATTCAATGGAACCACTCAATGCAAATTATGTGGACAGGTAGACGAAACCAATGAACAGCTTCAAACATCGTATTTGACTGTGTGGCCCTATCACACAAAAGATACAGACTGAGATACAAACTCTCTGGAGCAATACAGACTGGGGATAGACTGCCGCTTGAAAATCTTGTCCAAGGGCTATTGGGTCTGATACAGGGAACAGGACTCTTGTAGGGCAGGAACGAGGCCAGGAAGGAAATTTGGGTGCACAATAAGCCAACAGGCTGCGCTGCAGTGCATGAAAGGCCACAGCGCTTAGATCCTCCCTACAATCAACCAACCGAGCAACCAACCAACACTGTGCCTTCTTGACTCAGAAGGAACGGAAACCGGACGGAACAGAACATGAAATAACAGAACATGAATGAACAGAACGTGAAAAAGCAGAACATGAAAAAACAGAACAGTGAAAAAACAGAACAGTGATAAAACAGAACAAGGAAAAAAGAGAACTATGACATAACAGAACCGAGAAAATAGAGAACACTGAAATAAGAGAACCTTGACAAAACAGAACTCTGAAAAATAAGAACAACTGGAAATAATAAAGGATGAAAAACAAAAAATAGGTATCTAGTTATTGAACTTTAATGAATATTTTTTTACTCATGTAGGGTGTCATTGAAATGGTGTAAAGAAATTTGGGGGGTGATAGTACTCATAAAACTGGTTTAAAAAATTCCTATAAACATGGGTCGTAAAATGCATATTAAGGGAGTTAGGGGTGTTAAGGGGAAAAATTGAAAATCGTTTTTTTCTTTAATTGTAGGTTTGAACGAGATGAATTTTAGAAAAAAACCCTGTCTGGCATAGATTTTTTTTCTAAATCCTATATTTTCCCTTAAGAGAAGTGAAATTATAATAGCTAAATAACTCAAACAGGACTTATTTATACTTAATTTCCGAGAATATCAATGTTTTAGTTATGTTATATGGGTCTTTGTTGAAAGGGGCCTGAATAACTTAGGTCTTATTGCTTGATGTTAAAAGTAGGTAATTAGTTTCTGAGAATATTAATGTTAGGAAAATATAACTTTGTTGAGAGGGATTGTATGTTAATGAGATCGGTGGGTTTTGGTTAAAGTTTAAAAATGTAACAAAGAAAACACAATTACTCCCATATTATTCAATTGTTCAGGTTAGTTCAGTTTGAATATAAATTTGAGTAGTCAACTTTTATTCTTCAGTCGACTTTTCGAATTTCATTTGAACTGTTGTGTATCTAATTGTAAAATTGCTTTTTTCTGTGTATTTTGTGTTTAATCTTTATTTCACCTATCATTGCAATGGAATATTCTGTCACGCAGAAGGGAAATAGGGTTCTTGTGTACCAAGGGTATGAATATACGAAGTACAGAGAAAACAAAAGTGGAGTCATCATGTGGAGGTGCAGAATCTACTATTCTACCAAGTGTAAGGCCTTCTTGAGATCCCAAGAAGACAACATAATTGGTGAGGTTCCACAACATTGTCATGATTCCAAACCGCAAGTAGCTCAGGCTAATATTATTAAGGCCATATTGAAGCGTGACATGAAGGCAGTTGGTGCAACTCCAAGAAATGTATTGGGACATGTATTAACCAACCTAAGTTGCGATGTATTGGAACATTTGCCAAAGCAATCTTCCTTGACCAGAAATCTTTTCAACCACAAGAAAACGGCTCATATTCCGAATCCGACCACAACAAATTTTCGGATCCATGAAAATTATGCGGACTTGATTCTGCACGACACAGGAGCGGACGATCAAGAAAGGATTTTGGTAATTGGTAATTGGGAATGGAGAATTGCTGCGAGAATTGGATAAGGCTATAATCTATGGAGACGGAACATTCGACAAAGCCCCCAACATGTTTTACCAACTATATACGTGGCATGCTAAAGTTGGCAACAGCTATCCACCTTGCATTTACTTTTTGCTGCAAAAAAAGAACTGCGATACATACCGTCGAATGTTCACAATATTAAAGGATTTAGTGCCCAGCATCGCACCTCAGAAGATTCTGGTTGATTTTGAGAAAGCATGCATTTCTGCTGCTCGAACCGCCTTCCCAGAAGCAGACATTAAGGGATGCTACTTCCATCTATCCCAGAGTTTGTTACGGACAATTAATAGTGCTGGCTTGAAAACGGATTATGAGTCTGATATTGACGTGAAATTGAAACTGAAGTCTCTGGCTGCACTGTCGTTTGTACCAGAACACGACGTGCGATCTGTATTTGATGACCTAGCAGCAACTTTTCCCGATGATGATGGCCACAACGCCGTGTTGACGTATTTCTTCTCAACATACATAGAGGGCGCTGCTGGAAGATCACCGCAATTTCCAATCGGGTTGTGGACCCATTTCGGAGCCGCTGCCGAAAGAAGCCCAAAAACAACAAATTGTTGTGAAGGCTTCCACAACGCTTTGAACTCCATCTTCCACTGCAGCCATCCTAGCATATGTAATTTGCTAGATGGATTAAGGCGAGACATTGCCTGCCAACGGTTGCTGCTATCCAATGCAGCAACTGGTCGCCCAGAAGTACGGAAGAAGAAGTATGAGAACCTCAGCAATCAAGTGGCAGCAGTTGTGGAAGAATATGAAAATTATGATGATAAACTGGTGTATTTGCGGCGAATGGCAAACTTACAGTAATTTTTTTTTTTAATATATACATAAGTGAAAAAATATTCTAGGTATTTTGTGTTTTTCATCCTTTATTTTTTCCAGTTGTTGTTATTTTAAATTTTATATTCAAACCCGACTAACCTGAACAATTGAATAATATGGGAGTAATTGTGTTTTCTTTGTTACATGTACAACCCCTCTCAACAAAGTTATATTTCTAATTATTAATATTCTCAGAAATTAATTAAGTACCTACTTTTAACATCAAGCAATAGGGCCTAAGTTATTCAGGCCCCTTTCAACAATGACCCATATAACATAACTAACACATTGATATTCTCGGAAATTAAGTATAGATAAGGCCTGTTTGAGTTATTTAGCTATTATAATCTCACTTCTCTTAAGGGAAAATATATACATGAGTGAAAAAATATTCATTAAAGTTCAATAACTAGATACCTATTTTTTGTTTTTCATCCTTTATTTTTTCCAGTTGTTCTTATTTTTCAGAGTTCTGTTTTGTCAAGGTTCTCTTATTTCAGTGTTCTCTTTTTTCTCGGTTCTGTTATGTCATAGTTCTGTTTTTTCCTTGTTCTGTTTTATCACTGTTCTGTTTTTTCAGTATTCTGTTTTTTCATGTTCTGCTGTTTCACGTTCTGTTCATTCATGTTCTGTTATTTCATGTTCTGTTATTTCATGGAACCGAAGGAACGAACATTGTAAAATTAGTAGGAACTTCTACAGACTTACATAAAATTGGGAAAAACCTGAGGAAAAACCCAAAAACCAGATTTAGGGCACTTACCGATAGCCAAAATGCCTCCCTTATTTTCATTTGCATCATTGCTCGAGACCATTTCATATATATGCTGATAAAGCTCGTCCCAAAAGGCAGCAATCTCTTCCGAAGTAGCATCTCTCAAGTCATTTTTCAAGTATATAAACAGATCCTTTGCAGCCCTCGTCCTGATTTGTTCATGTTTCGATTTGAGGCTGACAACGAATTGTTTCAATACGTCCAGCGACATGATGATCAAATTATTTATTAGCTTGTGTAGTTTCCAATCTTCACATTTTAAAGAAGCAAAATATGGGGAATCTCTTTGCCGGAGCCTGAAAATTTGAAGAAAATACCTTTAATGGAAATGTTACAAGGTCGAAATTATTATGGTGCACTTGCCTGAGCTCGGGGACACTTAAAATACAATTTTATAAAGGCTTTGTCGAGGTATTCAAACTATTTATATGAAAAATTGCCAATGGAAAATATCCAAAACAATCACATTAACGCAAAGGCAGAAAAAAACATGTGTGTTTGTGTCAGCAGGGTTGCCAGATGGTTATAACTAATTTCCCCCAAAGGATTTCAAAAATACCCCAAAAATCACTGTTTGTCAACTAAAATCCCCCAAATAAATATAGATTTATTCTCGACTCATACTTGCAAAAAAAAAAGACAAATTCGTTGAATATTTCAAAATAAAACTCATACCCTTACCACTTTTTTATTTGTTTATATTATTCTAATCCCAAAAATAAAATGACAATTGACAAATGACAAATGAAATGAAATGTTGTGACTGGTGACAGAACAGATAAGTACAGTTAGTTGAGTTGTACCAAGAAGTTTGGAAAGTTTAAAAAATAATCTCAAAACCACACCAAACGCTTTTGTTGCATACTGCCATAGCAGCCATGTTGGCTTTTTGTGCTTTGGAGGGATTTCATGCCCTTATTCGTTTTATCTAAAAAAATCCGCAAAAAATCCTCTGAATTACAAAATCCGATCGTCCAAAAAAAATACGCAAATCGGATTAAAATCCGTCCATTGGCAACACTGGAGAAGAAGCAAACTGTATCTTTTTATTGGTACTTGATTGAAAAAATAGATGGCGCAGTTGTTTTAATACATCTTTTACTTTAGTTTTATTCATTGAAATATACCCGATTTCCCCCAATAGCGAAAATTCTTACCCCCAAAAAATCCCCCAGAAAAAACTATCCCCCAGATTTTCCCCCATCTACTTGAAAATCCCCCAAATTTGGGGGAAAATCCCCCAATCTGGTAACACTGTGTGTCAGACTGTCAGTTACGCTGTCGCTATCTATCGGTCAAAAACTGGAACCATTTGAAGAAATCTGTAATTTTCGTTTGAAATCACGGTTGTGGTTATTCTTACATTAGATCAAAACAAATTAATCACTAATCAGTAGCAGTTATTGCAAAAAGTGATGCTTTTGATTATCGTAAAAAATTAAAAAAGCACCATTATCTTTCTTTATGTGTGTGGTCCCGACTTTACATATTTTTCTCTCTCTACTTTCAGTTCCAAAACACGTGGGTGGTCCCTTTTTCGTCCATCTCTCTCGTACACTTGAAAACCGTCATATGGCTATCTTCTCTCTTTGTTCAACACTAAAGCAAAAGCAATGTGAGGTTTTGCATCAAGCTACGACCTACTTTTCTCGAGCCTCTCTTTTCTTATTTAAAAATACTATTAGGGAGTATGTGGTGGATTAGGCTTCATGGTCAAACATGTGCTTGGTTTTGTTTTCTTTTCTGTGTTTACTGTGTGTATGCATTTTTATAAAAATGTTTGTGAAATTAAAAGATAAATAACTTATAAAAGTGTACTTATCATGAATAAAGTTTTGATAGTATTCAGAATTTCTAGTTTAGTTGCTGAAATTCAGCCATGAAGAAACTAACCATATCCTTTTTCTACAATCTGTGCTTGGTCCTAGGTAAAACATTATTTACCCAAGAAGATGCTAATAATACCTCTTTGTCGGACTTAAACCAATTCTCCGACTCCCCATACATTCGTCATAAAGAGCCCTACAAATCAAAAGGCAGCAATAGACACTTGGACAAGTCCATGTACGATATCAATCACAACCCTATCAATTACTGTAGACGCAGTGCCAAATGCCAGCCTTTGCAGAACAATCATTGTATGGGATCGAAACTGCCGTACCTTTGGACAACTTTAGACTTAACAGATCTCAACAGTCAAGCCAAAGTTCAAGAGAAACTACAATTATATGAGCAATATTTACGTTATATACCAAAATGTTGGGCCGTAATACAACCTTTTTTGTGCGCTATGTACATGCCCAAATGCAATAATGGTACAGAAGGGACTGAAACTGTAGATTTACCCTCAAGGGAAATGTGTAAAATAACATTGCAACCTTGCAAATTAATTTATAATAGTACAGTTTTCCCTGAGTTTTTTAATTGTGAAGACGAGAGGCTGTTTCCTTCTATGTGCAAGAATGATATCCATGAGATGAAGTTCAATATTACTGGATACTGTATGGATCCACTTATCGAGACTGATAAACCGGAGTGGTGGGTTAAAGGTACTTAATAGCTATTTATCTATATAAAATTTAAAATTATTGATAAACGTGATTATAATAAGTTGTAGTAGGTAGATATCACGGTAAATAAGTTTATATGCTGATGGTCTTGTCCTAGGTCTTGTCATTTTCTTTTTGTGTTGTCAATTGATTGATGGTAGATATTGAGTGATATTCAGTTAGTTGAAGGGTGGGCTGTGGGCTGATGCACATCCATAATCTTGAGGAAAAGGATAAAACCATAAAACTTTACCTGCTTTTATTGAGTTTTTTGATATTTTCCACCTTTGATACAATAACGATTCCACAAAACCAATTTGAAGCATCAAGTATTCTGGAAGACTTTATCAAATCCCTGCTAAAAGATTGCAGTAGTAGCAGTAGTAGGTCTGTACCACATCCAATATCTCGGGAGAGCAGAGCTGTCAAAGATACTTTTGAAAAGTATCTAGTTACAAGATAAGTTACTTTTGGAAAAAAGTATCTGAAGTTACTTTGGGTATTTAGTTACTCATTGAAAAAAGGATCTTAAATACGTATCTAAGTTACTTTTTAAGATACTTAATAAGATACTTATTAAGATACTTAATAAGATACTTATTAAGATACTTTATTATTTCCAAATAGTGAGTGGAAAAATCGATTAAGCTATGGGTGTATATTTGTTCCACAGGTTTCGGGTTCAATTTGAAAATTTTAAAACAAAAATTGTTATAGTTCAAAAATCCCAAATTCGAGAAGGGTCAAAATCACAAGACACTAGAAAGTTATCACAGTTACAATCAAAAATCATAGTTAAATTTTTATAGAATAGGTATAATGGACAAATCGCGACGTGAGCTTTTGCAGTTAACAGCTGTCATTCAACCCTTTTTTTAAATGAGTTTATACTAACTGCACTTATTAAAAAAAAAGTATAATTTGTATTTAAACTCTTATGCCCGTATTACATTTGTGTATTTTTCTGTGTATTTATTCATGTAGTTCAGGGTGACAACCGAAAAACTTCAAACGCAACATAAATCCGCATTATGAAAAAAACAAAATAATGTTGGCACCCTGAACTACATGAATAAATACACGGAAAAATACACAGATGTAATTCGCGCATTACCACTGTCTACAGTCTGCAAATAAATCAATAATTGTATTTTCTAAAAAAACTGATTTTCCAAAAACCAAAAAAATTTATTTGAAAATCAGGGTCACAGCTTCACAACTAACGTAACACGAAATTATTAAATAAATGGTATCAATCAAGACAACACAAGCAAAAATAAAATGCATAATTGCATAAATAAAGAAAACAAAACAACTACATTTTTAAGAGCTTAGTGTGTATTTGTTATCTGTGTTTTATATTTTATGACACTTATGAAAGTCTATACTCTATACAAACCATAGCTAAATAAGTGGTATGACTATGACGATAATCGTGTTGGTTTTCTTGTCTGCTACCTTATGATTAAAATTGATCTGATTCCTATCCAAAGGCAGTACACTATTTGCTTGCTTTGCCTTGCTAGTATAGAGATAGTCTTGTTGCTTTGTCTAGAGCTAGACGGTAAAACTGTCTCCACAGAGCGGTGGGTGAGTACAAATGAATAATACATAAAACGTAAGCTTGATTCTGTTTGAAGTAGTTTGAACCAGTTCCATCTTGTGTGGGGTTTGGTGAACGTCTGAAGGAACTTTTTTCACAGTAAATTTAATACTTTTCGTTAACTTAGATAGGTCAATTTCAGTATCTAAGATACTTTCCAGTATCTAAGATACTTTTCAGTATCTAAGATACTTTTCAGCATCTAAGATACTTTTCAGTATCTTAGATACTTTTCAGTATCTAAGATACTTTTAAGTATCTCAGATACTTTTCGGTATCTAAGATACTTTTTTAAGATACAAGTTACAGATCCTTCTGAAAAGTAACTAAGATACTAGATACTTTTGCCAAAAATGAAAAGTATTTAAGATACAGTATCTTAGATACTATAAAGTAACTAAGATACTGTAAAGTAACTAAGATACTGTTTTCTGACAGCTCTGCGGGAGAGAACATAAAAACCTCAATAAAAACCTTACTTTTATTACATTTTTTGATACTCTCAGCCCTTCATCTCTCGCTTCATCCCCTCCCTATTGATTGCAAAATCTTGGCAATTGTAATATGAACTCGAGTATGAACACTGTAAGGATACACAGATACTACATCTATATTCAAGAATAATGATAAAAACCTTACTTTCATTGTGTTTTCTGCTTGTGTCAACCATTGATCTCCTACCGATTTCAAAACCAATTTCAAGCACAATTCTCGAAAACACCAGTTAAGTCCTTGTCTTGGTCCTTGTTTATTTATTTATTTATTCACATAAACCATGAAATGAAATAACGTGACAAAAAAGACTTTACCATAGGCGCCGACTCCATGGGTGCATGGGCGCAAAAACCCATACTGAATATATTATGGGTGCTCCGCACCCATACGAAAAATTTTAAATGTATATTTAGCCTAATTGAAATAATGAAAAAATCAACAAAAGGATTTATTTAAAAGTTACTAGTTTTATCAGCACCACAAGGACAAAAATATTTAAGATTCAATTGTTATTATTACCATTATTACTAATCAGTGTGACTGCCAAATTTATTTGCGTTACGATATACCCCTATTCTCATATCGTCCTGCGCATGTGTCCGATGGGTCCAATCTACGACTGCTGATGCTAGCAGCGCTATACAATAGGTCTTTCCGTTCCGGAAACGCTTCTGCGATTAACCCGATCACCAGCTTTTTGTTTTTCATCTTTCTTTATAATTTGTACATCAGTGTTATCAGTTGGTGATTGGGTCAATCGGAAATAGTCAAGTATAACATATTCTATAGACATAAGCCGCTTACGAACAAGCACAATGTTAGTTTCTTAGCTGAGGTAAGTTGTTTGATACTGGTGTCTTAGCAGGGGTGAAGAGGGAGGTAAGATTTTAACGTCAAATCGTACGTGCAACTGAGTTCCTTTTTTGAAGTTATGTCCTAAAATGGTTACTTCGTAAGCAGCTTTTTTTTTAGGTTGACATTAATTAAATAATTTGATAAGATACAGCATACGAAAAAAAAATGTAGAAACAAAAAAGTTGTATTTTTAAGTGTTCTATTTAAAAGACATATCCTATTTAAAAATAAATATACTGGGCGATGTTTTTCGTGCGAAAAACCAACCGACTTGACCTGTGGGCACGCCCCTGAAATTACTGGGTCAACTCTAAGCAGTCCAAAAGATACCCCATAAGGGTGTCAACAAACTGTAAAAATATCATTTAATTCATCCAACGCATTTCTGAGAATTAATAAAAAAATTGATTTTTTTTACAATGTTCAACACCCTGTATCTAGAAAGCGAAGCATTTCTGGAGATATGTTCATTAGAAAGAAAGCTTAATGTTCACGAGATCTACCATCCCTGGAAGTTTGTAACATACCTTTCGTGACACCCTATATATGAAGAATCAGTGTGAATGCGAAAACGCTTTTCAACTTATTTCCCAATATGGAAAAACCAGTATTATGTTCATCCCTCGGTTCATCCATATGTATGCATTAGTTAACCGATAGCAAAACTAGATAGCCGTCCAGTCGAGCGTCCAGTGATAAACCAGTCCTTGTATTGATATTGTTGGCAAATCGGTGTAGTTAAAATTCCCCATAGGAGCGCAAGAAAATCCCTAGATTAGTATAAAAATCGCTAAATTCAGAATATATACAATATCTAGTACAAGGGAATACCGCATTCAAACCTAAAATCATTCAATACTGTCAACAAGTACAAGTAGATGAATGTAAAATCTGAAAACAACAGTACAAAATATTTGTTTCGTATCTTTCTCTATTTGTACGTGTCAGAAAGAGGTATTCGATCTATGCAAGCAACCTGCAATAGAGATTGTTTTCCTTTTCTCTCTCTAACACATTGTACTAAGCGATATAAACGGTGTATTTTCATTATATGATATTGGTATTTTATATAAATAAAAAGCATAATATGATTAAAAAATGCTACATTATTTTCCATTTTGCGCTAAAATCGAGGCTAAAATATTTCCCTTTTTCCCTAATTGCTAAAAATGTCCCTAAATCTAGGGAGAAATTCCCTAATATACCATCACACTCCTTAATACACCCAAAAAATGTATTGTTTTTTAATGTAAGTTGATTTCCGTTAACTGAAATATTCTCAGGTTTCTCTGTTCTGTTCAATTTGGTTCCGAATAGAATAACATTTGTCTTCCCTGTATATGAGCCTAATTTATTTTTCTTGAACCAATTTTCAGTTTCTTGGAATAAAATTGAAGTTTTCAACAAGTTTGCGTAAATTTGAGCCACTGACCCGGGGTGCTATTTTTGAATATTTTCGCATACGAAGTTTGATACGATTTCGAATGCTCCCCATTTAATTTACATTGCTGTCAGTCAAATTTCGTGTACGAAATGTACTCGAATGGTTTCGAAAATCGGACCCCAGTACATTTGTGTTGTCCACATATTCTGTTAATTTTTAATCAATATCTGAGCATTCTGTGTTGGATGTCATTCATAAAAATTATAAATAAAACCGGCCCCAGTATGGCACCTTGGGGAACCCCCACTGTATTTTGCACAATCTTTGATTTATATGAAATTCCGTTTTTATGGAGTACCATCGTCACCAAAAGTATCTGGGACAAAAATAATGCATAATAATCTCCTGGACTAATTTCACTGTCATTCATTTCAATGAATTTGATTAATAGTTCGACAAATATTTTACAATAAAATTCATATAATAGTACAAGAGCTAATATGATGCTGTCCCAGTTACTTTTGGTGACTATGGTACCTATTACTCTTTGTTTCATTTAAATATGGAGCTAACCATTCAAGCGCACATCTCCTTATACCATAATACTTATATTTGCATTTTTTTACAAAATACGAGGCAAAAGATCTCCATCCAGAATATCAAAAGCTTTTCACAGATCCAAGAAGATATCGGGGCCAAATTTTCCCCTTCCAAGTCTCTCAAAATTGCCCGAATAAATTGAAATATTGCCGTTTGAGTTGTCTTTCCTTCAATATACCCATTTTGATTTTCCGATAGAATATCACAGTCTTTTAGAAAACTTATAATTCTTTCACACATCACGATTTAAATAACTTTGAGAAACCTGCTCGGCCGATTGGCGTGTAGTTATCCATCATATTGCTGTCTCCTTTATTTTTATAGCACGGTTTCATTTTTCATTGCTGACAATTTTAAAGTTTCAGGAAATATATCCTCCCTAAGTGAGTTATTAATCATATAACTAACCGCCACGGATGCGGTGATTAAAATTCACTAATGTCAATGCGAAATCACCGCTTGCCAAACCCTGTTTAATTTAACAACACTGCTTTTCTACCATTCCACCACGGTGCCTACACCAGCTGAATTTAGCCACACGCGGATTATACAGGGTGGCAATTTGAAAAGTAGCAATCGAGAATATCTCTTAGACAACAAATACTATCAGGAATATCTCAAATACGTATCGGGGGATTGGAGGGGGAATCAAAATGAGGCTTTTTTTGAGTCACTCACCTATTTTGTTTTGCACATCGTTTGATAGCTCGTTGCTATCCCTTATCGGCGAAACCAAATAATGTGTTTATAGTAATTCTATCTGCTTCTGGACGTCTCTAAAGACGAATAAATAACCTTTCAAAGGAGCTTTCAACGGGGTAGGTTTTCATTTTAGAAAAATTATTAGGAGGGGCTAGCCCCCAAGGCAAGGGGGTGGGGGTTAGGCAATAAACACATTTGGTTTCCGCGATGTGTATTTGACACTTTTATGACAGAATTCTTTAGTCAGGTACGGTTTGTTAGGAGAGTACACGTCGCACAACTGACAACGTAAACGTCGTCATTGGTTCAGGTATGACGTACACCCGTTTTCTCACGTCAAGACGGGTGTACGTCATACCTGAACCAATGACGACGTTTACGTTGTCAGTTGTGCGTCGCGTACTATCCTAACAAACCGTACCTTCTCTGTACAGCGGATTTTTTGTCAAATATGACAATCCCTGTCATTGCCGACGGTTTAGCTGGTGAGCCCATTTTACAATAGGTAAAATAGGGTGTCCCATTTTTAATGCTCACGACTGTACATTCTAGCCATAGAGAAATATAATAAACCAAGGTAAGAGTACCTGATTGATAACATGAAAGATTGTATAGCGCTGACGTCACAGCGACGGTGGCGTCAATAGTGGCAGCCGGAACAAATACTGAAATGGCGGGAATTTTGAAATTTGACTTGAGATGATTGCACAAAAAACTTACTTATGTTGTTCCACATCTTTTTTTCTCAAATGCGAATGAGAAAAATGATGTGGTACTCCATAAAGTTTTGTGCCATTTTTTGATGTAGATTTAAAAAAAAGGCAAAATAAACACTAAATTGTACTAGAAAAAATATACTTATATTATAGCTAGATAGGTCAAATACCTAAAGAGTTTACAAACACAGTTATTACATCCCTTATACATGCTTTAATGTATGTACAAGCTAAGCTGGCCAAGGCCTAACATCTACATTTTATCTCTTCAGACTGAGGTCTCCTAAAACAGTAAAAAAATATGCCGTATTGAACGTATATCACAAAACTAACATGTATACTTACTGGTTCAGTTTATCCTAGTTGTACATAATATTATAGGTACGCGGTACCGAGTGCCTTAATAAAAATGACAATTTCTTCATCTTGTTCTTTAGATTTTGTAAGTTCGAGTCTTCTTAGACGACCGCCCAATCGGTTAAAAATGACAAATTTCAACACGGAAATGTCGTTATTTTAAGGTTACTTATTTGTTTTCTCGGTCACAGTTTCTATAGTTATGGATGTTTGATAGGTTTCTACAAAACAGCTAGGAAAGCTCTGTAACTCATACGGTGACCTTGTCTTGTGAATTGGTATGACAGAGAAAGATGAAACAGAATCGAATGATCGGACTGATCTTTCGTAAGTCTCTAGCTTTCCAAAAATTCCGCAATGCGCTATGCGCAACCGGATGCGCAGTAATAGTATAACCTATTTCGGCTATACTTTTGAAGGTCTTTTTATTTTTTATTGTCTATGATTCTAGCTATATAAATCACCTTATTCCCAAAAACACACAAAAACAATTTTTTTTTGAAATCACAGATTTTTTTTTGTCATGTGCAAAATTTGCCACCTTTGGCCATCAGTTTCTATTTTTGGCCACAAGAGTACAGTGGCGACGCGTGACTTGCAGTCTGGGGGGGGTAATGGGAAGATGCGACCCCCCGCTAACGCGCCGCAGGCGAAACTTTTTGCCAGTTTCAAGGTCATTCACTTTTCCAGAACAATAATTTGCTTTGTGAGGAAAATAAAACAAAAAAAAAATGTATTTTCTTTAATATTATTATGTATTTTCTTTTGGGCATCGTAATTTTTCCCTTGAATTTTGGATCCTGGGGGGGGGGGTAATTACCCCCATTACCCCCCCGACGCGACGCCCCTGCTAGAGTAGCCACTTATGGCCTGAAGGTTCATAAAAAAAGTTTCGAATTAAAACTCATAAGTATCTATAGCTGGTTAAGCATGTATTTTTATAATACTGAAACTTTTTAACAAAATCTAGAACTAAGAAGTAACATTTTTCATATACATCAATGGATCCAGAAAATTTTATTAATAACTTTCTTCCTTCTTGTTCCAAAGATAGTTCAGGAAGCAAACCCATAATATCTTATTTATTGACAGTTGAAATATCATTTTCTATGTAATCGAATTTGGCTTTTGGTTTGTCAATATGTACTTTGTAGACATTGTATCTGCAACTCTGTATCTGAAACAATTGTTAAAACTGTTGCAACATAGGTATCTGAAAGTCGTGGACATTCTTTTGCCTGTGCCAAGTTCTACCAAAATGAAATCACCAGGTTTTAAATCATCTGCCTCATGTATTTCAATGTCTGGTATGTCAGCTCCTGTATAATCAATATCGTCATCACTGTTTCCTGACTCTTCCCATTCTTCTTTGGAACTTGTGTCTTTTTGAGGCACATCATTGTGCATTTCAACTTCTTTGATGCCTTTTTTGGTTTTTATATTTTCCTGCATTTCTGTTTTTTTTTTATTTGCCTTATCTGCTTCCTCTCTTTTTTTTCTAGCGATTTTTGTGCCTTGGTTCCCTCTCTATCTTCTTCGAACTGACACCATACATTTGAAACCAAAACACTACATGGAGCGCTTTGCGCCTTTCGTGTTCCTGATTTTTTTTTCGATTTCTTCTCATCGGGATAAGGAAGGACCCTCTTCAATACATCTGAAATATTAGAGCTATTGCTCGAAAATGATACATTTCTATTTATGGAATTTATTTTTTGCCGTATCATTCAGAGAACAGGCACTGGTGTTTGGCTGCTCAATGTCAACATCTTGATTTTCATCTTTTCGGTACTAGTTATTTATACACCAAGTGAGTTAAATGAATTTTTATTCATGAGAAGACAGTTTAACCCACGAGCCCTAGCGAGTGGGTTAATTTTCTCCGAATGAATAAACATTTTCACTCACGCGATGTATACAAAATTTTATCCTATTTTGTGAAAATTTTGCAAATAAAGTAGAAGGAAAAATGCCGGGAGTGAGTTAAAAATATTTTAAATCACTGAGGTTTCAGATTTTTAGTTGGGCAGAGTGACTTAAAATGCCGAGAGTGAGTTAAAATGTTTTTAAATCACTGAGGTGATAAACGTCTACTTACCTTTATTGTTATGCGTTCAATAATGTCATTTTTAAACGTCAAAATGGGATAAAACATATTATTCTGACTGGCATTTGGTTGTTCCGAGGTTTGTTCATTTTCAACAATTTCAACGCCTTCATTCAGGCCAGGTGTTGACGGTGAATCTATGATTATCTTCAATGAAATGTCCTTCTCTTTTATTTTCCTCAAGGGTGTTTTCGGGAGTCTTTTGAAATGTTTTCCTTTACTTCAAATAAACATAGAGCTTTCCGCTTATTCTCCCAATGATGGTTTTCTCTTTTTTTGTCATTTTGAATTCAGTCAGTAACTCAGGATCAATGTTTTGTTCTAAATAGGTGAGATGGCCCTTTATTTCCTCATTTGGTTCTACTGATTTATTCTGCAATACAACAAGTCTGGTTTTCTCAGGATAATTTTTGAATAATCGACAGAGTTTGCATTGAAGGAGAAGAGACCAGTGGTGCACCAGGTGCACTCATTTTATGGCGTTTCCGATTGGTAGATTCAGTGCGCACTGAGTGTATTTGCATCCTCTTGATCGACCTGTAGAAGAAAAAGACAGAAATAGAAAAAATTGCACTATAGTTCCGCACTAGACTCATTAATATCCAATAAAACTGACAGTACATTTTGTTGGGTGACATCTTGACCCCGATTTTTAAATTTTCTTGAAATATGCTGCCAAATATTTTTTAGTGGCCCAAACACGGCAACGTCGAGCGGCTGCATGAAGTGGGTTGCGTTAGGTTTTAGAGCCACTAAAATAATTTGTTTCTACAAAATCTGCTCAGATGCAGTTTCAAATGAGATCTATGGCCATCTACAAATACAACGACCCGAGCACCCACTGGAAATTTGACATCTAGTTCCTGAAGATAATTATAGAAAATTTTAGAAAAATATTCGAAGAAACATTCAGCCACTTTCACTTCTCCCTAGGCCCCAACCCTTTGGAGCTGATTGGAAGATAAATTTAGGTAACCCATCGTATTTGAATAAGGTCAGAGGTAGTGCGAATTTTCCTACAGTACTGACATCGCACTGACTGCAAAAAGGGTGGTGACATTTTCCTTATCAGACGATGTCCTTTCATCGTAAACATGCGTGCCTCGAGGACCGAGAACAAATCCACTTTTTGGTGCTAAAGGAAACCCTGAAAAACAAAAAAACGTCCATACTGAATATCCTCTCTAGATCTTCAAGAATATCGAGTGCTTAGACTGATTCCAAATAATGATTGACTTCAGTGAATCAGGACTGGATTTTCTCCTCTGTTACTGCACCTCTGCCACCATGAATATATTCGGGTTTCTTCTGTGAAAGTTCTTTGTGCCGTGCTAAGAACGCATAGTACTATTTTTTTCCTGGTCGGTTGTTAAGAGAAGGAGTTTTAATGTTAAGCTCTGTAACAATTTTTTGTACAGATGTCAACAATCCATCTTTGTCTATGGGAAAGCCCATTTTTTCACAGTCCAAAACCCACTACTGAACCTCACCGAGAAATAAACAAAATCCAAATTTTCCTGTGGAATCCCGAGTAGATTTGCCGCTGATTTTATTCTTCAGAGTAGTACGGGGTACATTAAATTGCTGTTGACACCGGCATTCCCGGTAATTTCGTTTAATGCTAAATTGATTTTCGCTGGAGAATACTGGAACTTATGAGCTTTTTGAATTCTGGTTTTTTGGGTTGTTTTCGGCATTTTGTCTGAAAAATATAAATAAAAATTATAATGAAAATAGTGCTAAGAAAAATTAATGGAAAAAAGTGGATTTGACTTTTCTACTTTTGGCCAGGTGCGTATGACTGCTAATATATTTTGTATTGTTTCTAAATAAAAACTCATTTTAAACGTCACAAATCTCAGTAGGATCCCCTCCAGCATAGTATTAGCCACATCCGCGTTGCTTTTTATCTCTCTATACATATATTGACCACATGCATTAATTTTTATTATTTATCTGCATTCCTTATACGATTAGCATAGTTTTGGGTCCTTCTAATCTTTGCTAGGAGATTATCATATTCTTTTTTGACGTTTGAATAATAATAATATGATAATAAATGGTTTATTTTCAAATTGTTTACATAAGCAATACAAAGTGAAACGTCGTCACACAAAAAATAAATTATATCTAGCTGGTTAAACACCATTATTTAAAAATTCCAATAAATTAGAAGGCTTCAAGTCTATTGAATGAAAGTCTTTTCACTCCTTTCGTAAAGAGTTTCTGTTGTTCAATTTTCTCGATACTATCAGAAAGCTTACTATATAATCTAAGGCACATATAGTGTGGAAATTTTTCTGTTGAAAACTAAAACATTTCATTGGTTCGATGAAAAAACAGCACAAGAAAGAACAGACCATGACTGAACAGAACATGAAAAATTAGAACAGTGGAAAAACAGAACACTGATAAAAAAGAGAACCATGACCGACATAACAGAACCGAGAAAAAAGAGGAAACTGAAATAAAAGAACCTTGATAAAACAGAACTCTGAAAAATAAGAACAACAGGGAAAAATAAATTTCATATTATCCTGTTTCGATTAGCAGAATCTGAGGGGTAAATCACTCATGGAAATCACTGTACACTTTGCTGGAAATACTTTGGGAATATCTAGGAATACTTGGTATTACCCTGGAAATACTTAGGATCAGTTGGAAATCCTTGGAAATACTCTGGAAGTATATGGAAATACTCTGGAAGTACATGGGAATAATTTGGAAATACATGGAAGTACTTGTAAATTTCTATAACTTCCAACCCCACTTTTAACGTATTTTTGGGCATTTTCGTTAAAATCTCAAGAATTGCGTGCATGTTCGTTCTGGTTCAGTGTTCCAATTTTTTCTGTTCCAGTTACCCTAATTTTGAGACAACTGAAACCTTGACCCCTATTTTCTTATGCATTTACATAATAGTAATTCTAAGTCGACTGGAACATATTGTAACATATAATATGTAAAGATACTAGGTACCAAATTTTATTTTTTTATTTTGCTCAAGAATCAGGGAAAATATGGGAGATGCAAGAAAAGTCCCTATTACTTAGTGGTGAGAAAATAACGTTTGATAAAAATGATAAATGAACAAAAAATAAAATAAGAAACCTATTTTCTTTTTAAGTAATCCATATTCCCATTTCTGCATAGTGTTCGACACAGTTAACAGTTCTTCTACTTCATGCATATATTTCTCTACCACCTTATTTTGCTACCGATAATATACCTTTCCGTTCCAAAACAAAGAGTCTTATTGTGGATCTTGGGATGTCATAGAAAACGGCAGCACCGTATATTGTTCTGTTAGCGTTTTGGACAACGACGTAGCTATAGCTTTCACATGGGGGGGGGGGGGGGGGGGTTAGAGCAGTAATGGCCGCTCATGGTCTATGCTGGAAAGGGTTTCAATTTTAGACCAGACGATGTATAGGCGACCGGGCGTAGCATAGTCAGAGCTGTTTCGAGTACAGGCAAAATGTACTCGGCTACTGGGTACAAGTACTTAGCGTAGAATGTTCATGATTACAGAGTACAATTAGAAGTATTCAATATCCAAGTATTCAAAGTACCCTGTACATTTATGAATACATTCTAATTCCACCTTGCAACGTCCTCTTTTAAACAGCCTTGATCTATCATGGAAATCTAATGAATCCTCATAGGCTGCAAGCGCTGAGGTAGCTGCGAACTTAGCATTGCACATGGGTTATGACGTCACCTCCCCTTTCACACTTCCGTCACATTTCCCGAAATTTACCATCAAACCGCCGGTATAGATGTTCACACATCAAAAATTGAATAACACATTTTGGTTTACTAAATGAATTCAGCAATTTTGAAGTTTGATTTGGTTATCCAGAGTCCAGAGTTTATATAAGTACTCGGTTAAACCTGCACACATTATAATTTAATTATATATTCTGAATCAGAATTAAATTATCTTTAAGATAGAATAAGATTCAATTCTCTATCTTAAATACTTCTGGAGATATTGAGGCTCAAAGTCAAAACTTTGTCTCAAAATTCACAAAAGATTCAAAGCTGATTTTCTTGAAAACGAAGCCCTTGAGCTCGGAATCTCAAATAACCTTTTTTATAGCCCTTCTGAAGAGCTACAATTGAGCAAAAGATTCATGCCGATAGCTTCACTGGTTTCCAAAATATGGCCCTTTGAAATATTTGAAAATCAAATTTCCATGCATACCCCTTTGAAAAAATTTGAATTTTTAAATTTTTGAATTTTGCAATTTTTGACTTTACCAATCGAAAGAGGAGGTGAAAATTAGTGGAAAAGCATTTACGCAACTTTGTTTTTTGGGTTTTAGGCTTGTAAAAAAATAAAAACCGTTTTTCCACATTTTGGGCCCAGAAAATTTCAATAATCTGACATTGTCTCATAAAATCGCTCATTACACGTATTATGATGTATAATTATATATTTTGAATCAAAATTAAATTATCTTTGGGATAAAATAAAATTCAATTCTCTATCTTAAATACTTCTGGAGATATTGAGGCTCAAAGTCAAAACTTTGTCTTAAATTTCACACGGATATAATTTCTGACCCCATATTTGTTCTAGAACAAACGAGAATATGTACAATACAGTAATAATTTCAGGTGGAACATGTTCCTGTTGGCCACATCATATACGTTCCAGTTGCCTCTGTACGTATTTTTACCAAGATTACTGAAACCCAAGTTGTGTTTCCATTACTTGAAATTCTAAGCTAAGAACAAACCTGGCTACCTTCACAGCATCTTTTTCTCACGGTTAAACATGCTCAATGCAAAATTATTCACTGTAATCACTAATCATTGATTAAAATCCAAACTTCTATCACCTGTTGTTATGAGGATACCGAGGAGGATACCTACCAATGAATACCTACAATTTGTAAAAGTAACAAAAGGACCCCGCAATATTTAAATGGAAATTGGTTACCCGTGATATTCAGATGAAATTTAAATATGTTATTGGGGATGCCGTAAGCAACATTTTTCCCATGGGCACAACCCTGTATATGTGACAGGTCAGGCGTGGTTAGCTGTCAAATATTGGAATCTTATATCCAAAAGCAGAGTTACTATGGCAGATTTTGATGAACGAAGTCGGAATATGTAACCATTTTGACCCCTGTCAAAACCCTGCCAAACGGCAGCACTCATCTTTCCCCGTTTTCAATATTTTATGATGTCATTTGACATGTTCAACTTGTATGTACATTTTGAATTCAAAAATTGAAAAAAAAAAAATGACAGAACTGTCAAAACCTTTCATTTGTTTTAGTAGAAAATAATACTCTAATCTGGTTCTTTTTTGTTTCAAGGTAGTTTATTGGTGATAAAACATTAAACAAAGTTCATGCATGTTACATTTTGACAACTGTCAGAACCTGTTAATAGCTTTTTGCTTCATATTGATGACATTTCCGATTGGTAGATCTAGTGCAGAACTTGTGCATTGTTTTTTATTTCTGTCTTTTTCTTCTACAAGTTAATTAAAAGGATGAAAATACACTCAGTGCGAATTGAAACTACCAATCGGAAACGCCATGAGTTTGTTTGCTTTAGTGAAGTTCTACTACGGGCATAAAATTGTTTTCGTTCTATTGTATTATTGTATTATTCTATCATTCTAGTTGTAGAACTTTACTAAGCAAATAAACTCAATATGAATCGAAAAGCTATTAACAGATTCTGACAGTTGTCAAAATGTGACATGCACGGACTTTGTTTAATGTTTTATCATCAATGAACTATCTTGAAACAAAAAAGAACCAGATTAGAGTATTTTTTTCTACTTTTTTTTTTGTTTTGACAGTTCTGTCATTTTTTTTTTCAATTTTTGAATTCAGAATTTACATACAAGCTAAAAATGTCAAATGACATCATGAAATATTGAAAACTGTAAAAAATGAGTGCTGCCGTTTGACAGGGTTTTGACAGGTGTCAAAATGGTTGACATTTTTTGACTTAACTTGGTCAACCTAGTAGAAATAGATTTTTTGTCCATCAAAATCTGCCATAGTTACTCTGCTTTTGGATATGGGATTCCAATTTTTGACAGCGAACCACGCCTCACCTGTCATATATACAGGGTCGTGCCCATGGTAAAAAATGTTGCTTATGGCATCCCCAATAACATATTTAAATTTCATCCAAATATCACGGGTAACCAATTTCCATTTAAATACAGGGTGTCCCACGGTGGATGGCGTATTAGACGTTTATGGAGAACTAAAAAGCGGATCATTTTGACAATTTGGCAACCGGGATAAACAACCATGATCTACACTGTTGCAAAAAGTCAATTTTCAACTGTCAATATTTCCAAAACAGTTGAACTTAGGTATAGGGTATATCACATGAAATCTGCTCAGAATTTTACGTAGAATCCAAATATGCAATTTAATACGGGGTGTTCCATTTAAAATAGTGATGTTGCCACTAGTTTAGAGTAGAAGCGGCAACACCGCATGGTCAAAAATATTTTTAAAGTGTAGATCATGGTCGTTTATCCCGGTTGCCAAATTTTCAAAAAGATCCGCTTTTTAGTTCTCCATAAACTTCTAATACGCCATCCACGGTGGGACACCCTGTATTGCGGGGTCCTTTCAATTTTTTTCTCAGAAACTAATCGAGCGGCGTGCTTTCTACTACATGCAGGGTGTAAAATGAAACACACTTGTAACTAATTTTTATGCGCAGGAAATTCAAATTTCAATAATAAGCCAAACACTGGCATATGGCCCAGTTACATCGCTGTTACAGTTGACCAATACTGGGGGAATACTTGGAAATCCCGTACAAATTTGAGAAGTATTCCCAGAAACTGGAAATCACTGTAAGTTTTTTCGTGAGTGGTCGACCCCTCGGTAAAATCGCTATTAAATCACATTTGCAATGGCAACTCTATTCGTGACAACTATACAAAAGCTTAAACAAATTCAAAATTATGCCATTAAATACCTACATAAACTTCCACGACTCTATTATACAAGAGACTTATACAAATACTTCAAATATCTAAAGGTGTACCAAATAATTCAATTAGAAGAATACACAAAAAATATTGCACAAAAAATTAAAACAAACATTGAACCAATAAAAGACTCTGAGACGTATGATCATCTGAGAAGAACCTGTGATCAAATGCGTGTTCCAAAATCAAGAACCAATATAAGCAAGAATAGCATTATAAGTCGCGCTTTAGGATCCTTCAACAAACTAGCAAGGGACATTTTATATAACTAGGCCTAAGTAATCTGCTAGAGGGGTGAAGCTACATCTTATTTCTACAACTATGTAACATCTGAGACTGATTAATATTTTGTTGAAATGTTAAGTACAAATCAAACAATGTTTACCTAACTAACGGGATTTGTTACAAATATACGGGAAATTCACTGTTGTTAACTACTTAAGTATTTTCTGAAAGATTTGTTTGATTTTTTATACTGGATTCCTAATATTTACACCATAACTAGGATATTTTATTGTTTATCAAAACATATATATTTCATGACTTGATACCAGCCTGTACTTATACTGTTTGAATAAGTATACCTGATTCAATGTTACCAAATTTATTCAGATTTTATTTCTATATTGTTAGTTTTCCCTCTCACTTGTGTTGAATAAATATAACTATATTTTGTGCAAATTGTAACTTTTCAACGAGCTCTTCCATGATTATTGGAAGCAAAAGATAATAAAATAGCTTCAATGAAGAAACCTCATGCATTTTTTTTTACAGATATTGAAGGCTGCGGACTTCATTGCAAGGATTCAAAATTCACCGATAACGAACACTACCAAATACACAAATTAATAACGTATTGTTCTCTACTTTGCATCGTGCTAAATGTTTTTACTGTGACCACATTTCTAATTGATTGGAAAACAGCAAATAGATATCCAGCTAAAGGCATATTTTATGTGAATATATGTTTTGCTATTTCGTATGGAGGATATTTGGTTCAGTTTTTAGGTAAAACTTGTAAAATGTTTATGAAAAATTTTTACTCTATCTGTTTTAATTCTAGGATATGATACAAGGGAAGACATTGTGTGCAAAAAGGACGGTACTTTGAGAAAATCCGAACCAAGCGCCACAGAAAATTTATCATGCGTCATTGTATTTTTTATGGTTTATTATTTTCTGATTGCCGGATTGGTTTGGTTTATGATTTTCAGTTACGCTTGGTATATGAGCTCGTTGCAAGCTTTAGGAAAGATCCAAGACAGAGTGGATAAAAAACAAGCTTATTTTCATTTAGTTGCTTGGAGTTTTCCCCTTATGTTAACTATAACTACAATGGCAATAGGAGAGATAGATGGTGACTATGTTACTGGAATCTGTTTTGTTGGATTCGAAAATATGGGTGCCAGAGTTGGGCTGTTCTTAGCACCTTTGGCTGCCACCATGCTGGTATCTATTTATATTATTATTCGAGGCAAGTAGATAAATTTTCTCAAATAATCTTTTTTTAATAATTTTTTTTATTAAAGGTCTAATACTTCTTGTAAAAGTAAAAATCGAAAGTAGAGAAGTGATCTCGATGCATTCCTCTAGAAAAATACAGTCCAATATAGTAAGGATGACAGTGTTTACCATTTTTATGGTAACATTTTGTGTTGTTATAATAGGATATCATGTTTATGTGGTATCCAATAGGGAGTCATGGCATTTGAGCTTGGAAAATTATATTCTGTAAGTGTATGACTATCTACCTTAGTGTAACTTTTTATAAAAATCTATTAAAGTATAATGATTTGATAAAAATAACTAACATTATATAGATTTTACTTATTATGGAACTTTGATACTTCAACTAACCTGAACTAACTTTAATGCATGTATTTTGGGATTTTTTTTTAGGTAATTTCAAGGAAAATGGATAGGCATAAGTGCTTCTGAAACTGTTCAAGGTAGGTTGGCTAGTGTGGATATAGTTTCTTTTTCTTATAATTTGCTTCTGTCTAGCACACATCTATTATACAATTTTCGCACGTAGCCTAATTATATATACTAATTTGAAAAATTAGATGCAAGTAAGTGCATTAACAGTAAACTATTGTTTTTGAAAGCTTGGAATGGCAAGCTTACTGTGTATAGTTGTTGATTGCCATAGTCCAAGAACTTGGACCAATGCATATACAATTTTTTTAATGTATTATCTTATATTAAGAAACTACAAATATTATCTCATGAGGCCATTTTGGTTGATCAAAGAAAGTCCAATAGAAATGCTTATGAGGACATTTTTGTTCCACAAAAAGTTGTATTCAGAAACTTTCATTGGCATAACTAAAGATGTTAAGCCCCCCTGCAATTTTTGACAAAGGAGCTTCCTACATAATTTTTTTGTCAAAAACTCCCTTGCTTGAATTCGATGTAATTGTCGTGACATTAGTTGTTCATCAGTTTAGAATTATGTCATCAATTCTATTTCTATTGCTCTGACTTTAGGTGTAAGCTGACTAGCTTCAGCACAGATTATTCCCATTGCAAACAATCTGAACGTCCCAGCGTTTCAATGTTACAATTGCAACTCTTGGCAGTATTCGGAAAAGGCATTGCAATGGCTTCTTGGGTGTGGTGCGGTGCCACTGTGCACTCTTGGGGACGATACTTCAGAAAGTAAGCAATAATTTTTGTTTTAAGTAACATAATGCAATGTGCTTAATTTGCAGAAAATTTCATTGTGAAGTCGAAGAACCAATGAAAATCCAGAAGCACAAGATAATAGCACGGGCTTTTGCCGGAAGGAAAAAATTTAACGAGGGCGGTAGGATTTCGATTTTCAGTCAAAATCATACTGATCCTGTGGGGCTGCAGTTCGAGTTGAATAGCGGTGCCAGTCAGGAATTGAGCACCACCTGGGCAAAAAACTTGCCCAGATTGGTGAATAGGAGGCCGGCTGTTCCCAACGATGAAGGAGTTGATAATAGTTACAATCAGTCCATTGACAGTGACTACAGCGTGAATTATAGGTAGGTAGCTATACTTAATCCTACTCAAAAATCTGTCCTAGATTTTTTCTTCTTCACTTCTTGAATGTGTTCATATTTTCAGGCACGTAAGTATAGAATCCAGACGAAATTCAGGAGACAGCCAAGTGTCTGTACAAATAGCTGAACTCAAAGCTACCAAAAGAGTTAAATCTAGAAGGACACATAGAACTGACAAGCACCATTTTAGGAGACACTCAAGAAATATCGGTAAGATTTCCCAGTGTGGAAATTTTGGGAGTTTCAATTCAATTTTTACAGGAAATTCTTCGCGAGCTCCTTCCCGTGCAAGGAAACGGGACAGCAGCGCTAGCTTAGACTCGCACTTGCAAATATTGAATGCCTTAACTAATGGTGATGATGTCGTCAATTTCGCGCCCAATCTTAATAGAAGGACTGCTACTGCTGGAATGCACGGAGCACATATTGGGAAGTTGCTTTCTAATGGAAAGTTAGGTAAATTCCTTTTTTTCACTTATAAATTGTTTCCACCAATTTTTGTTTCTTGCCATTTTGAGCAGTCAGTTAGCTCAAAATGTCCGATATTTTATCTCAATTTTGCAGGAGTGAACATTATTATACCTTGTATAGTAGAGTGTTTAGATTTAGTCGATCAAAAGTCGTCCCCAATTTGAAAAATGTTTTATGTTTCACAAGAAAGAAGGAAATGGCAGCAAAGTCCTTGACAAAACAATTCTCCACAGTATGACGCAGCGCATGAAGCGTGAAATTCAAGAAATCCAAAATGACTATTAGCAATTACTGTAGTGAACTCACAGTCAGACGACAAAAACTGATAATTTCTTTTGGAAAGCAACCAATGGCCTTAAAAGACCAGTTACCCAAATTCCATTCTTAAGAAAGTCAAAACAGCAATGGGCAATAGGTAACGAAAACAAAGTAAAACTTTTTGCTAGACTTTTAGAAAACACATCACAGCCTAACGAAGCTCAAGATGAAAATCTTCCCTTGAATGAACTTATCAAGAAGAAGGCCTACTTCGCCAAGAGAAATTAAGCCGAGATCAAGCAAATTATTATTCCGAAGAAAACTCTAGGGTATGAACCTAATTCTGGGGAAGTAATAAAACTACTCCCCAGGAAAGCTATTGTAAAAATATGCAAACGTTTCAATGCGTCTTTTAGGCGTGTATATGTATGTACCCAAACTTTGGAAAGTTGCAGAAGCTATCATGATACCAAAACCCGGGAAACCACCTCATAATCTTATAGGCCAATATCATTATTGCCAGTTAAGCTCTATGGAAAGATCCTGCTAAAAAGAATAAAACTAATCATAGAACGATAGGAACTCATTCCAACTCATCAGTGTGGATTCTGCCACAAGTACTTTACGATCGAGTAAGTACACAGAATAATCAATATAATAGAAAAATCGCTGTAAGAGGGAAAAAGCTGTTCCGCAGTTTTCCTCGATGTAGCGCAAGCATTTGACAAAGTTTGACATGAAGGCCCAAACTATAAACTGAAACTGTTTCTGCCACAATAATATTCTGATATTTTGGAATCATTTATATGTGATAGATTTTTCAGAGTCAAACAGGAAGATTTTGAGTCAAATTTATGAAAAAGAAAAGCAAGTGTACCTCAGGGTAACGTGCTAGGAGCCTACTTATAATTATTATTTACTTGAGACATCCCAATACTAGAAAATTGTCATTTAGCAACATTCGCCGACGATACTGGTTTACTTACAGTAGAGAAAAGTATTGAACAATCAACAGAAAAACTGCAGATCGCTATCACTGATTTAAAAAATTGTACCAAAAAAATTAAATGAAACCAAATCAATTCATTTTGATTTTACAAACACAAATGTAAATCACATACAAATGAAAATGAAATATCGCCTACTTTATGTAGGTTGATAAATCTTGTTTTTAATACTGCATTTGTACCAAGTTTGTTTAAAATGGTCAAAGTTGTCCCTTTATTTAAGGGTGGTGATAGCACAGATCTAAACAACTACAGGCCCATTTCCCTGCTCCCAGCTATGTCTAAGGTATTGGAAACCTGTGTAAATATGAGCCAGTTATTTGGATGGAATAAATTTTTGGTATGCAGGTCAATATGGATTCAGAAAACACAGCAATACCTCCTCAGCAACTACAGACCTAGTTACAAATATTTATGAAAAGGTTGATAAGAGATATATCTAAGTGTGTACTTGTTTCGCTGGACTTAAGAAAAGCCATTGACACAGTAAATCACAAAATTCTCGTGGAGGTGCTTGAAAAAATTGGTATTGGAGGTTCAGCACTACTGTGGTTTAAGGATTATTTGTCGGGCAGACTACAGTATGTTGAATGTGAAGGTAACAGAAGTAAAATGGAAAATATTGTACACGGAGTGCCCCAAGGCTCAATTCTGGGACCGACACTCTTCCTAGTCTACATGAACGCACTGTCATACATACCTCTTCAGGGCTCTCTCAATTTATATGCAGATGATACTTGCATCACTTATTTTGACAAGGATCCTGCTAACTTAAAAATCATTATTGAAGAAGACACAGAAAATAAGTGATTGGCTCTGTTACCACAAACTTAGTTTAAATGTGAAAAAATCAAGCTATATGGTAATGGTAATATCAAAGTTTGAGTCCTGGCCTGACTTCACAATAAACTTTCAGGGTCTCCCATTGACTCGTGCAAACTGCAACACCTGGGACTCTTTGTCGATTCAAAACTTACTTGGGATATGCACATCTTGCATATAATGTAAAAAGATTACACCAGCAATTGGAGTACTTGGTCGAATATCAGACTATCTGTCCATCATGCATCGTAAGATGATATACAATTCCCTCATCCATTCTCACATATCATATCTAACTCTGCTATGGGGCAATGCTTCCCTGAACAAACTGCACCCATTGTCAGTTCTCCAAAATCGTGCTATAAAAAAATTGTTTAAGCTGCCATTTTTGTTTCCAACAAAAGACATATTATCTGAATGGCATCCTAGACATTCACTCTCTACTCTCTATATATCTTGCAATCATGCATTTTTATCCATTCTTGCAAGACTTCCACTATTCACTTTACAATAAGTCTCATCCCAGACAACACAGTCCATCACCACAATACCAGACTCAATGAAAACTTAAGAACGTCGGCAATGAACACTACAACTGATCAACGCAGCATCTTATCAGAAGGACTAAGGTACTATAATCGAATTCCAGAACCTGTTAAAAGATTGAACATAACTTGCTTCAAGTGTAAGCTGAAGCAGCTGATCTTCGATGGATACTTTGGGACTCTACAATGAAAGACTTTATCTGCCATTTAGAACTAATATATTCATACATGCAACAACTTTGTGATACAGTACCTACTTGTACTGGATATTTTCTCTTGTGTGATATTGTATAATGTATAATAATACGGTATATTGTAATACTGTTATAAATATGTGATACTGAATGATCTGCATAGCTTTCCAGCTCAGGGTCTCTAGTTTAGGTACATACATCTATTGTCTAATTACCAGGTTGAAATAAAGGGAAAAAAATCACAATTAATAACACTCCTATAATATATATAAATCAAGCAAAATATCTTGGAATGACGCTAGATGCGAAATATCGCTAGAAAACGCATGTTAAGAAAAAGAGAGAAGAGTTTGAATTAAAGTATAAAAAAATGTACCTACTGGGTAATGGGAAGTACGACCAATTTAACCATACATAACAAGTTACTGCTTTATAGGCAAATGATGAAACCAGTATGGGCATATGCTATTCAACTTTGGGGTTGTTCTAAAGAGAGTAACATACAAGTTATACAAAGATTCCAAAATAAAGTAAAGAAACATTAATGCACCTTGGTACGTTCGAAATAGTGGGGTACATCGGGACCTAAAAATTGAAACTGTAACAGACTATAAGAAAGTACGCAAAAAGCCATGAAGATAGACTACATCGGCATGTGAATGTGGAAGCGATTGAGCTCCTAGACAACTCTGGGCTATTTTGAAGACTAAGAAGGGTGAAGCCGTTTGAGATACTGAACTAAAATTAAAAACACAACGACATAGTGCTATACTATTAGTAAGGAAAACAGATGAGTGAACCTCAATAGAGAGTTATTGGAACTATTAAATGCTGCCTCGAAGTATTAAGGATCTACGTTGTTTCATTAGTGCATCAGCACTATTTCTACAAGAAAATAACAGTTATTGGAAGACTGTAATCGTTGTTAGAGTATTACCTTAATAATTTTGACAGCTGATAGCTATGTTTATAAATTTTAATCTCGAAAAGGATTTATTTTTGTTTTTGATTTTCTGCTGATACCCATTTTTTGATGTTACCTACAGTAAAATGAAAAACTATTGTAAAAAACAAATTCACTAAGGGCCGTTATTGCAAAACACTGAACCGATGGTTGAGTTTCAGAATCCTATCAATTTGCATGAGGTCAACCGAAGGTTGAAACTCAACCATTGGTTCAGTGTTTTATAATACCGGCCATAAGTGAAATTACGTCATCGTCGAAAAGTGAAACGTCAAAGTCATCAAAAATGTCAGAAATATTGAAATAAGAGAAGTTTACTGCCTTGCACTAACCATACACAAATAAAGACAAGCAGTCACCTTATTTAGGGAATCCTTACTTTCAGACCCAAATGCGCATGCGTAGATGTCAAAATAAGGCTAATTTATAATGCTTATCCATTGCACGTCCAATAACTCTCTAATAATTGTAAACTTTATAGTAAATTAGGTTAAAACAGAACTGCTAATTAGTCCTACTGACTAGATTGTTATGTAATAAACAAATAATGTGTTTGACAAAAAAAAAGTCTTCCACAAGTTTGGGGGTAGGTGGACGCAAATCTTGTTCAAATAAAAGAAAAAACCTTATTGACAAAGGACAAAGCTTAAAAATATACATAAATTGAACCTTAAACTGCAACTTAAGGCCTCTGTACCACTGGTACCAGTTATGTAACTGATTGAGGATAGTAATAAATCCTTTTTTTTATAAAAAAAAACCTCAAATTCCAAATCTCAGCAATACAAGTAAATTATAGACACAGAACTTAGGGCTAGTCAACTGTTCCAAAATCATAAATTATGTCCATAGATAAAATGACAGATGATACACAAAAATTACACAGACAAGAAAGTTTTTTTTTTATATAGAAAATAAGTACAGGGTGCCAACAACTAATTGATTTAGTATATTTGCTATCTCGGAAACTGTTAGAGTTACGAGGATGGTTAAATTTAAAAAAATGTTGGAATTTTTTATGCTTAATAAAAATATCATTTCGTTGTTGCCAAATCTATTAGTTTTGGAAATACAGGTAATTGATGAAAATCGTCAAACACTGATTTGTTAAATATTTAGATAACGGTTGGTTTCAGAAACATACTTTAAATTTGAAAGTTATACACTTTTTTCTGCTGCACAACATGCTTTGTGC